ATTGAAGAGAGGCGAGAACAGAGCTTTTGGCATTGCTAAGACAGCGAATTTTCTTACACTTATAACGGCCCTCCATTTTGGGCACCTTTCTCGGGGCCGTGCAAGTGCTGTGGAGAGAAGGCACACATACACACATACATTATAGCTTAAAGCAGACGATAAACCATGTTAGAGGGCCGGTGACTTGTTTCGTTTTAGTAAGAGCTTTACAGTACTTGCAACACAATAAGCAACAGATTATGGGTTACAAGAAACATACACAAAAAAGAAGGAGGAGAGATAAGGACGATAGATGTTTGATAGGAAAGAAGGAGCCAACCACCCACCTAGTGACTTGGCATTGCAGCTGCAGACTGACATTGGAATCCCAATTGTAGATAGCGTATGGTATGGTTGTAAATGTGCATTGTATTATATTTTCCTCAGTGATTGTTTGTTAGGGCAAACCTAGTTGAGTAGGACTCTACATCCCAGGAGAAAGAAAGGGATACTCGATAACTTAAGACTTCCAAATGAGAGAAAAGGAATTTGCATCCAATGACAGAGAGTCTCGCTATTATACTGCAGCGTATGGTAACTTGAATGGTATGTCAAATAAAAGAAATACATAGACATACTGACAGTTCAGGGGGAAAAAAAAGGGAAAGACAATCATACAGGCAGAAATAACAGAGGGAAAGAAAAGAAAGACCCATAAATGGCGCTCTCTGGCTACCTGTAAACAAGCACCGACACCTTGGAGATATAGAATCTAGTTATTCCAAGACTGACATAGTGTCAACAAACAGCTGATCCAATCCTGTACGTGCAACTATGTGCATGTCGTGCTACCAGACAAAAATAAGGCGTAACCATTTTAGTACCGTACCAAAGACTATCACTACTACCAGACTTTGACTCCTACATTCAGGAAGGCCCGACCATGAAGTACAAAAGTAGGGCCTACCAGCAACATTATCAGCCGACCACTCTCTTGACAATGAATATGGAGGGCAAACAACAAAGGGGAAAAGGGAAAGAAGAAATGTAGGACCTATCAGTAGAACGCTACAACCACCCGCTTAACTCACCTTCAACATTTTCACCACATATAAGAACATGTTATGTCGAACAACCCATAGATCTACATACGTTCTTCGAATGCAAACTAAAAGCTGAAAAAGCAGGGTGCATTGTATTGCAGCACAAAAAGCATACAGAGCATCCAAACACATGAACATTGTGGTACCCAACACCGCAGCCAATGAAGATAATGCTGAACATCATACAAACGCAAAAAAACAACAAACTACAATACACCAAAAGCAGAAATGCATTAAGCCCACAGTAGAAAACGATGATTTGCATAGAAATCCTCAATTTCTTAATTGCAAAGAAGATTGTAAGTAGATGACATGGAAATAATACTTTTTTTGCATAGCAACCTTTACTTCTCAGTTGAACAGAACAATGTTAGGTGGTGAAAAGGAAATGATTAGCAGAAAGATGTTAAAAACATGCCAGACACTATGAAAAAAGAACAAAATTAACTTTTTAAGACATGAAGCACTCCAGACGTGACAAAGAAGAGCAACACTGAGCTATAAAAATATATTATTAACAGTTGTGTGATTTAACCCATCTCCAATTCCCTGCTTATCTCCACTTGTATGTTTGTTTAAGTAAAGAGAAGCACGGTACATCATCCCCATAAAAGGTTTTGAGAAACTGGGAGGAAAAAGCAAAAAATAAAAAAACAAAAAGACTGAATATGATTCCTTTTCCAAAGTTTGTTATATTTGATCAGATTAATGAACATGACAGGTGAAAGCACAAAGCGTAGCATATTTATGAGCAAAAGATAAGCAAAACAAACACTTTACAAAGGCACAAAGACAACATCATTCACTGCCTCCAACAGGAAATGATGAAAACTGACAATTTTCTTCTTCGGATTCTCTTCGATTAATTGGACACACATACAATATACATGATTCTAAATCACTCTCGTCTCCTTTGCTGCTATCACAACAACAAAGCAATTTTCTTTCTTCTTGAAAAATTGTCTAGTTTACCAAGTGCAACACCACATTAAAACGAGCACCGCGAAGCACCGATCCACAATAACTTAAGTACAACAGGCCCCAAAAAAGCATTACTCAGTTCCCATTGCTGAGTTGCTAGCAAACTCTTGTCTGTAAAATGAAAGGGAACTGATCTTGTTTTCTTATCTATGAAATACTGTGGAATTCTATCACATGGTTGCACTACACTTATGTGAGGCAGCGTGGTGGAATCAGGCTCTCGTCAATTTTTGGGCATGTAGAGTTATTGGTATCATCTTAAAGCTTATTCACTTGTCTTTGTTTGGATGAAAAAAATATCAATTTATCTTGAATACAAGTCGAGATATTTGCGAAAGAAGGAGTTGGGGGTCACCTGTTTTCAAAGGTAAAATTAGAGAGAAAGTGGCCGCCAAAGATTAGTTATTTCCTTAGGTTAAGAGTCCGTGGTAATTGAAAAATTACATTTGTGTACCTTTGACCAACGCTTTTCAGCAAAATCCAAACAGAAATGAGTTCTTAAATGGGCATGAAAGGTGTTCAGCTAAAAAACAAATATTTGATAAAAATTCACAAACCTGCGGAAAAATGCATGTTTCTTTACTTTGATTATTTTGACGAGAGCATGATTCCACCACGCTGCCTCACTTATATCTTTTATTCCTATCAGTGACAAGCACGAAACAGTAGACAAGATATAGGTGGTTGGTGGGCGCTCTGGTGTGATTTGCCCCTTCTTTCCTATCAAACAACCATCATCCCTTTCTCTCTTCTTTCATTTTTTTTGTATACCACTTTCTAGTAACAGCACTAATCTTTGGCACTTATATGACCTATTTGTGTGGCAAGTGCCGTAAAACTCTCACTATATACTAAAATTAACCAAAACTAAAAAATCAGAAAAGATCCACTACAGAATATGTAAACAACACTTTAATACTAAATGTACAAGCAAAGGATAAGAATGTGCAGGAGTACAAGCATGCAAGGTGGCTATTTCTACACACACAAAGCATATATATTGTATGAAAAGCAGAACAAAATAAATGTTGTCAAGAGGATGAATTAGGATTCTAAAATTAATATACAAACTTCTTAATAGTTGGTCAGAATCACAAACATTGTAGGTCCCAGGACTTCTGAATCCCACTTTTAATAGCTCATGTTTGCATGAACAGCTTTAGGCCCGACCATCTGTTCACTAAAAGTATCCATACAATCTTCTTTCCTTCCATATTCTAATTACGCGATAAAAAAGTATGCTTCTCTGGGATGAAAAAACAAGAAAACAATACACATTCTTTCTTTTCTGTAAAGTTCTATTGGGACAATATACCAAAATATTAAACGCTGAGCCTCTTTGGATATCATATTTTGTCACTGTCAAAGACAATATATACAATGTTTGTAATGTTGACCAATGGCAAGTAAAGTTATGGAGAGTCAAACTGGACAATGTACAATGTTTGTGATGTGCACCCTGAACCGTAAAGGTTAATGGAAAAAAGTAATACATGTATCAAATTCACAAACAGAGGAAAAGGAGGCTAAAACAGCTCCCAGACATACATGGCTGATGCTTCTTTAAATGAACTATGAATGGTCTGGTCTGGTAAATGGCAAGTTGAGGAGAGTCTCTACTCAAATAAATTACTTCTGGTAAAAAGGTAAGCACATAGAACAGCAGCGCTGTGCATCTTTGGTTATCATATTCTGTCAAGTAGCCTAACCTCCATGTAAATAAAAGCTACGAAAATCATAAACGATCTCCAAGCCTCTGACAACATTCTCCCTTTTGCATTAACTACTGAATTGCAATGAAAAGTTGAAACAAACTAGAAAAAAACAAACAACCCAGCACCGTTTATGTCATCAAGCTCTCAAGATTACAACTCGCATGAAAATAATACCCCCTCAGAAGGAGACTACAAATTCACTAATACAAGTCATGCTATCAAAAGAGTAGTGAGAGGCTTTTCCATTGACACAGCATTTTGGCTGTACAATGTACGGGAGGAAGAAAGCTATGTGGTAAGATGGAAACAAAAAAGGTAACATGGCCTGCCAGTAGCACTTTCTTACTCCACGAATTGCCAGCCAACTGTTTTTTTCTTCTTTACTACAATACGTTAAATACTCCCACCCCCCTAAAAAAAGTCCTACACAAAATGAAGCTGATGTTTTATCAGAAGACACATGCATAACATGAGCACGACCTTGGAACGTGCTGGGCACAGAGTAAAAAAAATAATAGTATATTCAGAAAAACAAAAAAAATGTTTTTTACAGTATCCGAAATTATAAGTTATAAATATGAGATCATGATATCTTTGGTCCAAAATATTGCACTGCACTGCAATTAATCGTTATCAAAAAATTGTGGTATCACATACATTACTTGGATAACTTCAATTTCCAATGTCAGATTGTTACTCTGAGAGAGCCATTGTAAATAAAGAAAATGCATTTTTTTAAAAGAGGTAGGAAATGGATAAATGTCACAAATGAAAGCCCAGCCAAATATGCAAAAGTACATGTTCACACATACAAAATAAGCCTGTACACAAATTGCACACAGTATCAGATATAAATTTCAACGCCTCCTTAAAACAGTAAAATTAAGATATAAAGCTTGCCCTTCCTCATTTCTATGTCCATCTGGACACAATGTAGGCACACATCTAGACATAGTGTAGACACACACACACTTAGACACATCACAGGCACACACCTAGATTCAGTGTGGATAGGCCCACGATCCCCTTCCCAAAAACACAGAGAGGGGTTGAAAAAAATACTCCTGACTGAACGAACAAAACTACTCAAATTCCACTCTGAATTTCTCCATTTTGGGACAAGACCAAACCCAGCAGGGTTTGTGCCCCTTCATTTTAAAAACATTGACCATGAAAGAAGTGAATCATACAAACACTCAGCAGAAAAATACTCAAAACAAGGGGAAAGTAATTACATGTATATATACAAATATTCAGACTCCAAAAAGAAACCAGGACTTGATCAAATCCTACATAACTAAAAAGCATTTTGATACCTTAGAATTACAAATTTTTTTCTGACATTTTTGGTTGTTTTGAGTTACCAGGACCATGACGTCATAAACCAAATGTTTTATCTGCTCTAGCAAAATCGTAAGTGTATTCAGAGTCAATATCAAGATATTCAAAGAATTGCCTTCTAAGAAGCTTGACACCTGAAACTCAAAATTCTTTATGTCAAATATCTCAAAACTAGGTACTGAGCAGATTTGAGCACTTTGTAATTCTAAAGTAGCAATTTGCAAAGGAAATTTCAAAAAAAAAAAAATAAAGCAAAAAAATCAACAGCAAGAAGCGAAAAGCAAAACATTGAACAAAACATCCACTACGCATTGAGTACGCCATTCAAAGCACAAAGATGTTACAACAGACACCACCCACATAAGTCTCAGCACACGTTTTATGCCTGCACTGATTGGCAAAGATATTATACATGTCAATAATAGTACCCAAGAGCCTATCAACCTGCCACACTGTCTATCTCTTTGTGGGACAGAGATCAATAGTAAGAAAGAACAGGCCTGCCAAGAAAGTTATAGAGAAGTGATATGCCACTGAGATCAGAAAAGATACGAAACCATAACTTATCACCTAAAATTCAACAACTCACACTCAAGTCATACTTTACTATATTTGAGTACATATTAAGGACAAGTCCAACCTAGAGACTATGAGAGCAGGTTGACATAATATGGTCACCACCTTCAGCCTGTTACTAAAAATCTGACATTCCTCTAAAAATAAACAGGCACCAACATTTCCATTGAGAACAAGCCAATCAGAAGTCCTCACTTAATTCAGCACTAAATCTTCTCTTCTCTGGCAACGTCTCTGATGATTATCTACGCTTACAACTTTTCCAACATTATCAACAGTCTAGTTTTCGATATAGTCAGCGTTAATGTTCAAACATCTTACATTTTGTCTCAATAAGTTTTCAATCGTCTCACACATTCAAATTGCTTCGTTACCGCACAACCGTTTTACAATTCATTTAATTTATGTGTTAATCTTGGAATTGTAAAAAGACTGAAATATTTTGGCTTACATTCTATACTTTTTTATCACACATCAGTCAACACTACCACAGGACATACATACATTCCCAAACCTGAGTCAATACTAGTGCTACCACAGGACATACATCACCAATACTATTATAGGACATGCCAGCCCACATACATTCCCAAATCTCAATCAATTCTACCACAGACACACATACATTCCTGTGTCAGTCAACACTACCAAAGACACACATATACGATCTAAAGCTTTATCTCCTCATCAATGACAAGCTCAATGAAATCGCCGTAGATTTACAGGGTGGTAATTTAAGAAGAGATAGCAAGAACAATTTCTGTCATGGAAACACTATATATTGAATAAAAGTACAAAAGTAACCTTCCTGTTTTAAAAAATATAAGCTCCCAATGTTCTAGACAATAAAAAGTAGTTTGAGTCTTTTTTTAAAGGGAATCAAACTTATTTTCATCCAATCTGGGTGAAAATGCAATGCCTGTACAAGTGTCCAAAGCTCCTAAACCCACAAACCTTTCTCTGAACATACAAAATATGATCAAGACAGAGGTATGCCATACAAAGGTAGAATGTTTAAAAAAAAAGAAAAAAAGGAAAGAAAAAAAAGACAAAGAAAACCCCAGTCCACTTGAAAAATATAAGTCAAGTGAAACACAAAGAAATTTAAAGAAAAAAACTAATAATAATTTAAAAAAATTAATTTAAGAATGTTCTGAATTTTTCTTTTCAGAAGCAAGAGATTTTTTTCTGGGATGGGTCAAAAGGCGTATGTTCATCTGTTTCAGTATTTTTTTTAAAAATTACTAAAAACAGACATCCCTGAGAATGATCAAACAACCCCGCCATCCTCTCTGGCCGACTGACTCTCTTTCTGGCGACCCCACGACCCCCCACGATCCCTGCTCGTCTCCGACCATACCGTCACCGGCCTGTTGCTGGCCTGACCCACCGACGAAAAATCCGTCCCATCGTCCATCTCTTCCAAATCCTCCTCCTCATCCTCATCGCCCCTCCCCTCCCGACCAGTGCAGACATCGCCCACCTCCTCCCCTTCGTCCATGCTATCGTACCCGTCCCCACAGAAACAGCATTCTTCTGTGGGGTTCTCCGGGAAGTGCGGCCAGCGCCGCCCCCCGAGGCGGAAATTTACCTGTCGGTAGCAGCAGAAGCAGAGACACTTGACCCACATGGTCCACAGAGGGAACTCCCCGCAGCAGATTACGTCGAAGTACTGGACGAACCCCGTCAGGGCAAACAGCAGAGCCAGCACGGTGCTGATGGTGACAAACACGTGGACCTCACGCAGACTGCTGCCCGGCTGGGGACCACACACAACGAGAATTGTGAAAAATATTGTACAGTCGAACCTACCATGACGGCCACCTCTATAAGACGGAAATGGCCACTTTCCATTTCCCCCCTTGCGTTTTTTTCTTTATAATTTAACTGTGTAAAACGGGCACCTGTCCAACGCGGCCGCGGCCACTATATTTTAACACACAACCCCTATCACACCAAACAATAATCCTTGTCTTAGACAGCCACCTTAGTGACTCCATTACGTTTTGTCATAAATTGTGCATTGGCCCCTGGCGTTGTTGGCGAGCCGTCATAATCCAATCACCTGTTTGTTGTTAGGTAGTCACTCCAACCTATCATTTTGTGTAGGCCCCTCCCACTTTTGACCAATAGGTAACAAATTTTCAGCTGCTGGTGAGGTAAGCGTGTGATCCCTCAAAACCCATAAGCCCCGCCCAGAACTCATACACAAATCATAGGTGAGATGAGTGGTCATTGTTAACGCAGTCTGTAACAAAGTAACAATAGACGTCAACATGAATTTGTGACAGAAGCGTCGCTCGTTCTCCGAGTGGTGGCGACCCAGGTGTTTGTTTTACCATAGCACTCGGTCCTCCTTGTCTGACACATTTCGTTTTATTGTCACCCTTGCACAAAAGCAGCAACAAAATGAAAAAAAAAAAGAAAAAAAAAACCCCCGGCGAAAGCAACAACAACAACAACTATAACAACAACAACTATAACAACAACAACTATAACAACAACAACAATGCCGCGACCTAAGAAAGAAATAACCCTGAAGTCCTGTCATTCGCCACTGATAAGTGTCACAAGAGGTTTGAGTAAGGAGTAGCACCTCCACATGATAACAACCATTTACTGCTAGGAAAAAACAAGACAGACAACAGACCAAAACAAAAAAAAATTTTAACCAGGGAAAGAAAAGGAGCAGGACCTACTTGTAATGCCCTCGATACACCCGCACCAACACTGATACACCATTCTGGATGAACTTGTGATTTGATTAAAACGGACACAGCATACACAAGTCTCAAACAGGGGAAGAAACTTGGACATTTGTGCATGTGACTTTTCAGTTTTAGTATTAGTAAGTTTTTTTATGGCACTTGCAACACAATAAGGTCATATAAGTGCCGAAGATTAGAGGTGTTACTAGAGAGTAAAAAACACAAAATAGAAGGAGGGGAGATGAGGACGATAGATGTGTGATAAGAAAGAAGGAGCAAACCACACCAGAGCACCCGTCAACCACCCACTGACTTTTTAATTCATGGCACACTTGAAAACATACCTTAACATTTACTCCCCTCCTTCTTTTTTTTGTGTTTGTTACTCTCATAACACCTCTAATCTTCTGCTCTTATATATGACCTTATAGTGTTGCAAGTGCAGTAAAACCCGTACTAAACAAAAACCCCCAAAAACTTTGACCACAAAAATGAAACAAAACAATTCCACAAAATGACGTCTCAGCCTTTAGTTTTCGTACGAGTTTTACCGCACTTGCAACACAATAAGGCCATATAAGTGACAAAGAATACATGTGTTACAAGAGAGTAACATATACAAAAAAAGAAGGAGGAGAGATAAGGCTGATAGATGTTTGATAGGAAAGAAGGAGCAAATCACACCAGAGCACCCACCAACCACCCACAAGTCAACGACAATGTTTCGATCAGCGTGAAGAACTCGTACCTTGTACTTGTCTGGGGTGGTCCAGCCGTTCGCGTAGCCGATGATCAGAGTGATGGTGAGCCCTATGTAGACCAGCAGGGCCACGATTGTCAGGTTAAAGAATCTGTACACCTGCACGAGTCAAACAACACGTCTCTCTCTGAGATGTCCGCCGTCTCATTGTGTAGTGTACACGTCTTCACCGTGTCTAGCATACCCGTCTCATTGTGTAGTGTACACGTCATCAACGTGTCTAGCATACCCGTCTCATTGTGTAGTGTACACGTCTTCAACGTGTCTAGCATACCCGTCTCATTGTGTAGTGTACACGTCTTCACCGTGTCTAGCATACCCGTCTCATTGTGTAGTGGACACATCTTCAACGTGTCTAGCATACCCGTCTCATTGTGGGCACACTGTTACCTCGTCTAACTTGTCTTTCTAAATGAGGGCGGTTCTTTAACAGCTTATCTAGCCCGCCTGTCTCACTGTGAGCATGATATTACCTTGTCTAGCCCGCCTGTCTCACAGTGAGCATGATATTACCTTGTCTAGCCCGCCTGTCTCACAGTGAGCATGATATTACCTTGTCTAGCCCGTCTGTCTCATTGTGGGTATACTATTACAACTATATCTAAAAGACCTATCTGTCAGTTATCAGTAGTATAGGGTTTTACGGCGCTCGTAACTGCGTACGGTCAAATGAGCGCGCGAAACACAAGTTGTTTACTTTCGCAAAAGTTCACTGCACGATTGGTTAACTATTAGACTTTAAAATGCAAAAATATTAAAATTCAGTGTAAATATATTTGCGATTTCAAACAACTCTTATAAGTAACAATAAAAATAGAAAACCTATCTCATTGTGGGTACACGGTTACCGTATCTAGCCTGCACATCTCATTGTGAGCATATTGTTGGCTTGTCTAGTACAGCTGTCTCGTTGTAGGTGCACCATTACCTTTTCTAGCATACCTGTCTCGTTGTAGGTGCACC